TTTTTAATAATCTTTATTAAATCTTTACGATACAAACAGTAAGAACAAGCAGAGTCATTAATACAGAAATACATGAATCAAGAGCAGAGCCTTTCTTATTTTTTTGAATCTTAGATGGTTTGATGTCCGTTCCGTTTCCTTACCAAAAGCAATAAAAGAAGGTTTAGAGTGGCAACGTTCGGTATCGCGAGAATAGAACCATTGACAGCCGCGTCGACTGTGGAGGGCGCGGCTAAAGCGCGCCATCTTGGAACAGGGCTATCAAGAAAGAAAAGGAACTCCTCAATCTCAAGAGAATTATTCGCTGAATTTTGGACCATTCCAAACGTATTGATTTGTTAAAAACGCCACACATGTAGCTATGATACAGGGCTTGGATATTTTAAAAATGCTGGTTTTACTACCCCAAATACAAATTCTGCTTAATGTTATCAGCAGACGAGCTTCTGACAGAAGATTGTGAATGGAAAGATGCCGGACTTCTGTGCGCGTATGGATGCTCTAATGAGCGAAGCATACAAACCAAATCTCGTGGGATCACTTTTCACAGGTAAGATGTAAGTAAGGGATCTATAGTGTGAGCAGTGTTTTATGTAACCTGACAGACAGACAACCTCATATCTGACAAACACAGAGGTCACATGACTTCTTTAAACCAGAAATAACACACATTTCTCTCACAATTTCCGCCTAAACTGTATGCTTTCTTTATCCCTGGGGCATGAAGGAATCATCACACAAATCAAAAATTCTTATCTTCAACCTCTACTCTGCAGTTCAATTATAAGTATTATATCCCATACGGTATATCGAGAGCCTTAAATTAGACTGTGTGCCATGCTGACAGTCTAATTGTATAATTTATTGGAATTTTTTATTGGATCGTGTAGCTTCTCCACTGCCTTCACCATCTTGTCTGGGCTGTACCTCCTCACAACTCGATGACCAGGCTCTCTTCACCCCGTTGTGGGATCTTTCACTATTCTTGATTGAGTGTCTGCTGGTGTATGTGTCAGGAACACAAACATCTATTTTCGTCTACTCTGACTGGCCTTCCCTCAGAGCCAGGAGCGTCTTTTTGTCAATCGTGAGAGAAATGTGTTGGTTTATTTCTGGTTTAAAGAAGAGGGCATGTTTATGCTTACTGAATTTCAGATCTTCAGGTAGACCTCTTTGCAAAGAAGGGCCATGAGTCCACCAGGGAGCAGAGGGAGTTTGCCCTTACGCTACACCTTCGTGGTGTGAAGAGTGTACGGGGTCTGTCACCAGGCTGGCACGGCACACATCGCAAGAGAGCCTTCTTAGAACCTGCCGAACCACAAACCCTGCGATGTAGACCAGAGCATTGTCCACAAGACCACCAAAGCGCGTGGGAAGGTAGCTGTGGTCACACACGAGGGCTGCAAAGTTAACAAACGGGGAAGGGAGTTCGTCTGCAGTTTCGGCAGAGGACATCTCGACAGCAGACAGAGACGCTGTGTCATCCTGTGCTGCCACGTTGCCTAGCCCACTTGGTGAGACACCACACCGGACCATCAGACGCCGGAAGATGCCCTGGAACTGGCCGGCAGAGGGATTGTTGTTCCAGCCCCCTTAAGGAAAAAAAAAACAACACACACCCACACACTACAATTACACCAAAGATATTTTCTTATTGTTTTTTAAAGGCTGTAAAACGTGAACCCTACCCGATGCTCTGATTGAATTAAAGAGAAGCTCCAAGTGATCTTGGCTGAACCGGTAGGTGCAGACATACCGCTGGAGCAGCTCAGGAATCATCAGCCTCGGGGTGTCAATGTTGATCACAAACCCGATGACAGACAGGTACCTTCAAAAGAAAAAGTTTTATTTCCCCGATTGTATTAAAACAAAGACACCTCGAGGAAGCACCTAGGAATTTTGTTCATTGAAAGAGGTAAATTGATTTTGCCACCATATCCATCAGATGTGAAACAGCAATGGGTGACAGGGGTTCTTTTGCTTAGGTGGCATCCATTGTGGGTAAACTGTACTGCCAATTTACTGGGAACAAAATGACTGTGTGCTTCTTACAGGTTTGCAAACCTTATTTTCTTTTAGGATGCTGAACCATCTATAGGAACATTATTGAACCGGAACAGGGACAGCTTGAAACAAGAACAAGCAATACACGACACCTGCATGATGTTAACACGGTATCATACATACCATTGACACCTGTAGGACCTGAAAAACACTAAACAATTCAAAAAAATGTATCCGTCCAGTCTACTCAAGTTGGAGTTATTTTGTTTTAATTTCTAGTAAATTATAACATTAGTATAACCAAATATTACATTAATAGGCCCTCCAGTGTGGCAGGCACTTAAAAATGAGTTATTAAATAAATACATAAGGAAGGTTAAAAATGCTCCTGCAGTTCATTTAGTTTATTATTGTTTTATTGTGTTATTCCTTGTATGTTATTGTGTTGATTCAGTGTAATTAAGCCATAAAAGTGTTCTATCTTGGGGGGGGGGGGGAATGTTTTGTTTGTACAAAAATTTGCTCATCACTCTACTATTCTTTATAAATACATTTGCAAAGGGGGACTGTCTATTGTACTATTATATACCTACAAAACATCAACTATACTCAAATTCACAGCTTGAAAACTCAGCTGATGCTGGTTAGCAGATAAATGTGTTGATTTTTGAATAGGAGTTTGCAATTCTGCATCAGATATGTCCAGTAAAACATATGGGAGAGGATCACAGCAGGATTTGATATTGAATATGCTTGTGTGTACTGTAGAGTATAAAGAAAGGAGTCTGGATGGACATTGAGAATTTTAGGAGAAGAAAGACTTTGTGAATAATGCAGCCAGAAAATGAAGACAAAGATTTTATTGTCATTGTACACTTTGTAAAAAGGAAATGACAGACTCCAATAACTTGACAGATTTGTCAAATAACTATTTGAATAAAAGAGCCACAATTTTAAAGAACAATATAGTTAAACCTTTTTATATATAATCCCAGGCCCGATGCAACATATGTTGTGCACTCAGTTGCCAGTCTTTCCGGTACACCTTGCTAAATGGAAGGCGGTCTAATGTGCACCTATTGTTCCTTTATTTTATCTAAAGAGAGGGAGACTGATTAATTCAGGTGCACATGAGAAAAGACTGGGGTGAGGAGGTAGGGCATTAAAGGACAAGTTCACTTTTTTTTCCCTCCCCCAAGCATGTCTTAAAACAATGACATGCTCCAATGTACCTGGTCACTATAGGCTAACTGGATTCAATTAAACAAGATGGTGGACAAAATCTACAGTCCTTTGCAAAACCACACTCCTCAGGTTCAGCTGAAGCCAATAGGAGACCTCAGCAGTCTAGTTAAATCGAGTGGATATCTTCTACAGTTTAGTGCAATTTCCCCTCGTTGTGTTTCCCCAGTGTTTCTTTGCTGGGCTGCAGCAGAAGGATAGCAACACAAAGAGATTTTGTAATGATAAAACGAAGACACAGCATATTTGTTACTTACTTTTGCACAAAGGGATTTAGGCTTTTGTACTCATCTCTTACATGGAAACCACTTACTACTCCATGTCAAGAGGAACGATTACAGCACCCAAATACTTTAAATACAGAGACTTCTCAAAGTGTGAATGTATCCTTTAAGAAGGGAGCACGGTATTATCAACGAAGTAGGATAGTGATGTAACCATGGCGACAGTAACCTTTAACCACTGTACTGCAGGCCTGTGATTCTGGAGGATTTTCATTCATCTGAAGAGTTTAGTCTTCGTTGTTAGTACATGTGTTAAATTACCTCTTAACTCACTTGAACAAGTAAAAGTACCGCTCCTTTAAACTACCTTAAACTGCCTGTAAACGGTCGCTAAAAAAAAAAACGTTGCGATACTAAGACCACATCTTGTTTAGAACCTAGGCAAGGCCTCGTGACAGATAACGCCGAGCATTCTAGAACGTTCGCTGGGCTTCTTCTAAACTGCCGTTCACCCGTCCGGCTTCTTCAACTAAACTGCCGTTACCTGTCCGGCTGTCTTTCTAACTAACTGCCGTTACCGTCCGGGCTTCTTCTAAACTAACATATTCCGTTGTACCGTCCCGGGCTTCTTCTTAATACTGCCGTCTACCGTCCGGGCTTCTTCTAAACTAATACCCTCGTTTCCGCGTCCCGGCTTCTCCTTACAACTAAACTACCTTACCGTCCGGGCTTGCTTCTTAACTGCCCGTTTACCTGTCCGGGCTTCTTCAAAACTAAACTACCGTTACCGTCCGGGCTCCTCGCTGATTCTCCGGTTGTGGTTCAGATCAGAATCGCCTCTTTACTCATTGTCCATTGTGAAGCTTGGGGCGAACCCCAAACTCACTCCGAACTAGTATATCTGATCAATTCATCACCTCTGCCCACAACTTAAAAGCGTGGAGGCCCTGGATGTTAACTGCCAGCTGCTCATCGCCATGGAGGCTAGCGAGCGGGTTTCCTATCATCTCCGGTCCGAGCAGAGCCAAACTCAGACCAGATCAAATAAGATCACTGTGTAGGTTTTTATAGGAGAACACAATCATACAAACAATCATACAAACGTTCACTCCACTTTCGCTCACGCAAACACTCACCAAACACTCGCCCATACAAGCCATTCAAACTATGAGAAACAGGAACATCCGGGTTGGTTTTAAAGCTAAATGCCGCATGGAATTGTGGGAGATTAAAAGCAGAATGTAGTTGTATGGCGACCCCATGTGGCCAAAATACTTTCCTTGCTTTCTCCTTTTGAATTTGATAGTTCTTGAATTAAAGAAGAAACTACAGTTTTTACACTGTTTTACAAATTACAAATAAAAGTTTCAAAGCTTATTAACAATAAACAAAAATTAATAAAATAAATGAAACAGACGCATTCAGTTCAAACAGGAATTATAAATAATTTACAGAAAGGGAGGGATTCAGTTACAATTGATGAATTGATTGTACATGTAATTTCAAAAGGCAGTTATCTTGCTGTAAAATACTTAAACTATTGGTCTCAATACATTTGCACTGATTTGTTTCCCAAGAACAGATTTAGGAATAAGGTCTCCAATGGTGAATGAATAAATAAAGTATGCAAATATATTCAGTCATTTAATCTATTAACAAGGTTCTTCATTAAAATGTTCACAAATGAATTACTGTAAAAACATTTCACAATTTCAATACACTGCTGAAACAGTGGCTTATAAAGGCATATATGTTAACACTGAATGAATGAACTGGTCTTATATATGTATGTGCATGCACATATAAATACACACATACACCTACTGTATGTCAGTGCATACAGTCACGTACAATAAATACACTCAAGACACATTCACATACATACAGTCTGTTTAGTTTGTTCTGTTGTTTTAGTTGTTTTTACCCTTAAAGGCCAAACTGTTGCATTTCTTTTATTTATATAACATTTGTCTGTTTTGTCCCGTTAAATTAACCAACAACCGGAGAAGCAAACAAATACATAAAGTTTGTTCTATGTAATATTGGACTGTAGTGGTTCTGATGCTCAGAAACTACACAGATAAACCGAGGCTAAGACAGTGTGTGTGCCCAATAATGCACAGTTTAGATTACTTCCATCTCCATGAAAATAATTAGTGAATGAGTTCAAGCGTAGGAAACACAATATAGTGTAATGAATTGTTATACTTGAACAGCATGTCTCTAAGCAATAAGAACCAATGAACTAAAGAGTGAATCAGTGTTGGTTTGCCTGAAAGCCTTTCTTTTTATTTTCTGTCAGTGTTAATGGGCTCGGTGGTGGAGGAGCCGACTGGTACTAGCTAGTGCAGTGCTAGGTTGGCTTTAAGCTGTATTTGTGTCTGTGGCAATTAACTAATCTAGCATCCTGTGCCTTGTGGGGGTTGTGAGGTAAGCTTGAATGGCGTAATAAGATTTCCGAGTCTACTACCACTATTGACTACTGCTAGGGGGCACATTGAGTCTGAGGATCCTTCATCAGCAGCAATATGTTGGACCTGGATGCAGCAAAGAAACAGACAACAGGCAGACTATGTGAGGAGGTGTGATTCTTTTCAACAATGGACTAAAACAGCAACGCTGTTTTCGGACAGAAACAGTGGACCTCCGCTATCCTGCCATGGAGGGGTCAACTGCAAGAAAAGTGAGTTCTTGTAAATGGTTTTCTTAAACGTTTACTCCAGTCTGGTGAGTGAGAGGTCAACATCTGATCTGATCTGTCAGAGGATTCATTGACTTCAGTCAGCCAGTACGAGTAGCCTCAGTGAGTTTACAGTCGCAGTCTGTCCAACAGACTTAATGTCCCTCTTCATATCATATTCAAACATTAAACTGTCAGGTGAGGATGATAAAGACGGTTACAGTAGGCTTTATCTCAGGTGAAAAGTTCAGTGTGTGTGTGTTGTTATCAAAGTTTTTTTTATCCATATTGAAAGCTATCAAACACAAGATTTATGATGTTTGTATATCTTAAACTCATGAGCATCTTGTTGCTCTTTATTTATTATTCATATTACTTCACAAACATGTTTTAGATCATATTAAAATCTGCTTTATTGCACAGTGCACAAGTACTGAGACACTGAAATATAGTTTAGTATCTAACCAGAAGAAAAAACATTGAAGTGCAGAGTAATGTATATTGTTTATGGAATAAACAGTAAGGGTTAGATGTTAATATGCTAATATATATTCAGCATGAACAGTATGAACAGCAGTTACAGTAGGCTAATATATAGTGTAGGTATAAACAGCTTTCAGGTTCCAATGTATAAAAAAAAGATGCTTCTGAAGGTAAAATGATCTCCGGGTCAGCTAGTCATTCAGAGCGTCTGTTCTAGGGAGGAGAAGTCAAGAGATCAGGAGGAGTGATTTTGCTGGAATCCATCCCAGCCCTGCAGGCTCTGAGTGGAACAATAGCGTCCATCAGATCAGACACCAGTCAGGATATCTCGACCCAGCTCAACCTCTCTGCAGGGGCCAGTACAGCGGGAGAGACAGGATTTGGAGGCTTATGTCGGTGACAGGAACAGTAAAAGGCACCACACCAAATAGACTTCTGAGCTCTAAGCATCTCAGGTGGAGAGCTCGGGGATCTTATGGGCAGCTACAGGGCCGTTTATAAAAGAAATATGACTTTTCCCGAACACTTACAACAGTATCTGCCATCTGCTCAATGTGATCTCAACCTCCTGGTTATCGGGTTTCAGTGGGTGTGGCAGAGTATCTGTGTGATTGTGTTACAGCAGGATGTCATGCCAATGTCAAGTGTTTTTACTTTTTTAATTACTGGTAGAACTTGTGTCATGTTTTGCCAAAGACAATGTCTATATTACTGTCTCTCTGACTGAGAGAGCTGTTACGTCACCTTTGTGCTCCCAGTAAACAAAGCTCACCTGCTTAAGCAGAACAGCGGGCAGTGTCCCCTTTTGCTCTCACAGTATCTAATTATACCCTCTGTCCAATCAGGCAAAGATCAACATAAATAAGATGTTCTGACTAACCAGTTTTGGTATATCAATGTTAACATGTTAACAACAATCTTTTGTTTTCTTTAACCAACAGAAAACAGGATATGGACATCACAAAAAAGGTATTTTAACATATAAATGCTAAACAAACATTAAACATTAAAACAAGCACACATACAGGTAATCATACTGCGGATTTGAATATTTGATTGATAGAAGTATCACTCAAATGTTGTTGTTTCATCAGATAGATCAATCTATTGGAATGAAAGATTAATATGTCAATCAAATATTTGATTGGATTGGTTTGATAGAATTAGCTAGTACTTACCTGACATGACATGTATTTTGTTTTTTAAATCACAGTTGATTTTAATGAATTACTTTGTGACTGAAAACCTACATTAACATATAAAATAGACCAATTAGTGTCTTTTTAATCACAATTAGCATTTAGATCTGCAGAGTTCACAGTTAAAGTGAACATATAGTGATATGAGTTGTTTTGTGTTCCTCAGAGACCCACCCTCCGCTGTGCCGTCAGTCCACAGCAGACTTCGACGAGAGCGCTCTGCCCAAGAGACTGAACGGTTCCCCGCTGGAGCCACCCAGCTACCAGACCCTGCACCGGGAGCTGCTCCTGAGCCATAAACGGTCCAGCAGAACACACTGAAAACACTCTCTGATCTTAATGTAGGCAACATTTGAGTCAAAGCAGGGCAGGCTGGGTTGTGTGTGTAAGTGTGACTCTGACTGACCCTGCAGGGGCCTGCTGCTGGAGGAGAAACCAGAGCTGAAGCGAGTGTTGGAGCAGCGAAGACTGGAGCTGCACAAGGAGGAGGAGATGGCACAGCGGCGGCCCTCAGATCTGGAGACGGAGCTCCGCAAGAGGCAGCAGAAGTTGGAAGAGGTCAGAGGCTCATGATTAAAAACTGAGAGACATTTAATAGTAAATAAAAATGCATCTAATCTGGTAGATTAGACACCAGTACATTAGTCAACTGTACTACAGAAATATAAATGCCTCTATATGACCAACACAAGCAAATGAGACCATCAGCAAGAAGATTGGCTATTTCTATACTTATTCTAAATGCCTGACACCGGTTAGGATTCGGTCAGATTCCCCTTGAAATCAATAAAAGAAGGCAACACTACCACTTTTGTCCACAGGGACCGCCAGAATCAACACAAAATGAAAATTGCTTGTTGCTGCTTTAGGTACAAATTTGAGAAATATTTAATTGGGTATAAACATTTTCTGCTATTTCTACTTCTGCTTCACTGCCTTCCATAGGGAAATATTGTGCTTAATACTCCACTAACACTTATTTAGCTGATACTGATTCATTTTCAAATATATATTCTACATTTAAGAATAATCTAATCCAATCTAATCTAATCAAATATAAACAGTGTTAAAGATAAAACCGGTGTCTCTCAACCTTTTTGGCCCCTTGTTATTATTTCTTAACTTATTTCTTAGCTTTTCAGATGGTTTTTAAACATAAAGTTTCACACACAAAGAGGTTAAATTATCAAATATTTCACAAAAAAAATATCAGAGAGAAGTTAGAGAAAGATGAGTCACAGTTAGTTGTTGGTAACTACTAACAACAACTAACAAATGCATATATTACAGCTCAAAGTCAGATG